TCCAAAATCTCATCAGCATCCAAGAAAGTTCTCGCTTCCTTACTTAGAAGACAACACAAAGAAATCGGCGCAGACGGATCAGTTGCAAAGGAATGCTACAGCGGATGGACCGCCAATCAGATCATTGACCATGAGCGCCGAGTTTACGCTGAGCTGGTCAGAAGGGGAACTGTTCAAGGGCTTGTTGTTGATAGTTATGCTTGTGGGCTTCTTCGGCGCGATCTTGCAGATGAGTATCAGCAGTGGGTTTCAAATCATAGGTCGAATCTTCAAGAGAAACGTGGATCTGGTAAGCGACCAAGAAGGAGCTGAACAACAAATCCAGCATCAGCTACGTGATCATGGAGATCGTCACCGTGGAGACGCAGTTCAACCTGAAGTTCGCCGTCGTGTAGATTACCATTCTGGAGATGTACGCCAATCTGGATTACAACATCGCGGACGCCATCATCCTGAAGATGCACATCAACCTGGAGTACAACATCGTGGAGACCACCATCCTGGATTACAACATCGTGGACACCATCATCCTGGAGATGCACATCAAGCTGGACTACAACATCGTGGACATCATTATCCTGGAGATGCTCTTCAACCTGGACTTGGAGATGGCGGAGTCCATGTTGTACTTCGTGATGTTCCTGGAGGGCCATTGATGGTGAGTGGAGTCCCACTTGACATGGAGGTGTATGTTGCTACTGCGTATGGCTATGCTTGTCATACCAGAGTGTGCTCTTCGATTACAAAAGACGCGAAGGCGACCGCTGTGATGACGATGCGTGACTCACTACTTCATGGACAACTTCCTTGTGCAAGATGTTTGCAAGGCATTCGTAAGGCTCTTATGGCAAAGAATCCAGATCACAAGCTTTTCAAGAACAACCGCCGCGGGAAGCGTTAAGCTGAACGAGTTGACGAGTGAAAGCTTCTGTACATTGAGGGGTTTGTTTTGCTGTATGTGACTTCGTGAAACACGTTGGTCATACATGTTCTTTGAGTGCAACTGGTCATCAAGTGAGTGACTGGTGTGAGGACTGTGTTTTGGCTTTGACCCGAAGGCCAGTAGACTAGCTACAAAGTTTTCGGCAGTGTTGTGGAGCAACACGCTTTTGTTTTCTCGAAGGTGTGATGTCATAGTGACTTCATACAACGTTGAAGTGCTTTACGGTTGCAGAAGGCAACCATAAACCAAAGGGGGTAACAACATTTTCCAGTAACACCAGACCCCAGTTTACCTGTGCTGTGCAGCGTGAAGTGAAGACCTGTGCGCCCGGACGTAAAGGCTCAGAGTGACGAAAAAGAGTACGCCTCGTTTTGGGGCTAGTGTTTTAGATTCAGAGTTGCAAGGAACAGAGTTTTGAGAGTCGTTTTCTTCAGGAAAAGTTTCAGCCAGAGTTTCAGGAACATGTTTTCTGTTTTGCAAGTGCATGTGCACAGGACGGCATATGCAGTGACACGAGTGCATGCGAGCTAGAGACGTCTGCAGGAACAGCGCATGAAACCTCATGTTTTGAGATGCTTTCACAGCTCAAGGAATTCTGCGAAACACTCGCGGAACGCTCAGGCGTACAAGGAATAGTCAAGCCAGTAGCAGAAGGTCAAGGAACCTCAGCCATGGAAGCTAGCGCCAGTTCTGCAAGAAGCAGCAGTGAAGTTCTCAAGGAACTGGAAGCGTTAAAGGAAGCCGCCACAGAACTCAGGAAAGCAAGCGCAGAAAGGAACGAGATCGCAGAGTCGATCAGGAAGAACACAGAAGAGTCGACGCGATTGCGTCGATCCCAGGAACATGTGGCTAGTTGCGTGAAGTCCCTGACGCGACAAATTCAGGACGTCAAGTTTCAGGTCCAGGAAATGGCCGAACAGAACGACAGAGACCGCACAGAGGCCAAGGAACGCATGGCCTACGTCTTTGAGACGTGCGACAGCTTGAAAAAACCAGGTACAGACGCTTGTGAACGACTTCTACGAGCAGGAAGAAGAAGACGAAGAAGAGCAAAGGAAAAGAGAAGCCAAGGACAGAAAAGCAGAAGGAGAACTACGTCGTGAAGGACATGGACCAGGTACAGCACCGTCGAGAGCTACGTCACCTACCTCCCAGGAACACAAAGGAGAAGACGAAATAAGGAACTGGTCGGACAAAGGTTACTTTGAAGGACTTCAGGAACGCGACGAGGACTACGACTACTTCGGCGAGAACGAGAACGAGGCCTACGTGGACAGCTACGTTGGAGGAGAAGATCCCGGGGAGTACCCCGAAGGAGCGAAGGAAACAGAGGCACCAGGAGAAGCAGAAGAAGAGGATGAAGAAGCAAAGGAAGAAGCAAGGAAACAAAAGATCAAGGAGATCAACGCCAAGAGCAAGGAAAGACTTGAGGAGAAAGAGAAGGAAAAGAAGCTTTTTCCGTACCCCTACGACTACAGCAGCCAGTGAAAGCGAGTGGAAGGAATACTCCGAGAACGGCAGCATCTACAGAGAGCACAGAGTCACAGGAGAAAAGGTTTACGTGGACAAGGACTACACGTACAAGCACGAGAAAGGAACAAAAGGAAAGGAGAAAGGCGCAAAAGCAGGCAAAGGAAGAGGAAAGCCAAAGCAGAGAGCAGAGAGCACAGGATTTCGACCTCGAGATGATGATGATCGCAAGTACTGGGAAGAACAAGACAGGATCTCAAAGGAACAGCAAGAGGCAAAAGCGGCAGCAGAAGAGAGGAAGAAGGCAACAGAGGAGCAGATTGCCAAAGCAAGGAAGATCATGGAAGCGGCAGCAGAAGAGCAGGAGAAGAGAGACAAGGAAGCAGCAAGGCAGGAAGCAGCCGCAGCCGCCGAGAGAAGGCGAGAGGTAGAAGCAGCAGCCAAGGCCAAAGCAGAAAGAGAGGAAAGAGAAAAGGAGGAGACAGCCGCAGCAGCCAAAGCAGAGAAGGAGAAAGAAGAGGAAGCAGCCGCAGCAGCCAAAGAGGAGAAGGAAAGAAAGGAACAGGAAAAGAAAAAAGAAAGGAGAAGGAAGCAAGGAAGAAGAGAGAGGAAGACAAGAAGGAGTCGTCGGCATACATTGCCCGAAAGGAAGCAGAAAAGAAGGCAGCAGCAGCAGGAACAACGTCAGGATCAGGAGAAGTGGAACCGAGACGTGAAGAAGACAGGATGAAGAAGTTGGAAGAGATGATGGAGGAGATGTTGAAGGAACGTAAGGAGGATAAGGAAAGGATTGCAAGCCTTACACAAGAGCTAGAGAGCAGAGGATCGGCAGCCGGGTCGCAGGCACCCACAGAGCCAGACACAACACCAACAAAAGAGCAGGAAAAGCCAGAAGGAAAAGGAAAAGGAAAGGAAGAAGGACAGGAGCCACCAAGCGTGACAAAGCACAAGCCAGGAAAGCAGGAAAAGGAAGACCCAGAACTTTCCGCCAAAGGACCAGTGAACGAAGCGTCGTACTTGAAAGGAAAAGGAAAAGGAGAGTTTGAAGGAAACTGGTTTGCAGTCTACGGTTTCCAAGGCAGGAACTACCAGTGGAAGTGGAACGAAGAGAAGACCCAGTGGTACTGGTATTCAGGATCAAAGGAAACTGGTTGGCGAGCAGGATCAAAAGACAAGCAAGGAAAGGAGAAGTGCAAAGTGCAGGCAAAGCAGCGTGAGGAGTGGCTCAAGGAACAGCTAAAGGAACAGAAGGAAGTCACCCACGACAGCGAAGAAGAAGAAGGAAGCAAAGAAGTGAACTTCCAGCGAAGCAAAGGAACAGCGAGCAGTACTGAGGCCAGAGAGCCGAGGAAAGAACAGTGAAGCAGGACACACAGGAACCGTGGCACAGCCCTTTTTGTTTCTGTGGTGATCTAAGTAAGTTCAGGAACAGTCTTGTACAGCCAAGCGACCTTGGAGAGGATTGCGAGTGAACGGAAACGTTTGCGAAGAGGAACAGAGTTTATTTTGTAGTGAAAAGGAACTGCAGTGTGTTTACTGTTTGTCAAGGAAAAGTCGGAGTCACCTCAGTCGAGGAACTTTCGCTAACTCCGAAGGCGGGGTGTTAAACATCTTGCCAGGAACAGTAACTCCGCTAGTGCAATGTAGTTAAGGAACAGGAACAGGCGGTACACGGACCGCGACGTACAGGCTCGAGACCCCGGACACACGTGCCCAGGAAAGCAAAAGTGTCCGACAGTCTGTGAAGGTAGGAACCCTTAGTGAAGCCCGTTCTTTAACAGATCCGGAAGAACCGGAGCGCACTCGACGCTGGGCTCGGGACAATTGGTGAAGGCTGTGCAAGTGAACTTCACTCGTGGCAGTTTTCTTCGGTGACTTTCTGATCCTGCAATATTATTTCAGGGGGAATCAACTTTTCCAATATCAAAGTTGCAGCGGATAATTTCTTTCTGTCAAATCGCGACCATCTTCCAGGTGAGCAGTGCCGGAGGGAAAGATCATGGGGGGTGCGAATGGACGTCGATGCCTAGTCCAACCCGTAGGGTGACTATATGAGCTATGAACGCAAGGTCATGGTCCGCCATGTGCATAGAGCAAGGCACCGTCTTGCGGACCTTGTCTCAACCGCCTGCACATGGCACCGCTTGCCGGGCCATGTGACAGTGCCAGTCTATATTGCTCCGCGTGCAGCGCAACTTTGGCTCAAGATTATGCTAAAGGGCATAACGCCTACCGCCGTGCTAGCAATAGCTACTGGCCTGTGAACGACCTAGAGGTGCATAGACAACTCGTCGTGCTTCTTTGGCGAAAAAACACACGGTCCGAGTTTGCCTGCAAGCAGTACTCTGGGTATTGCATACCGACAGTCAGTGCCACAACTACAACAACACGCTCGGTGAGGTGAGCACACATATAGTATCATCGATACCCACCTCACGCAAGAATAACAGGCACAAGAATACGACTGCCAACGCGAACACGAACAAACACAATAAGAGACAATACCAACAAAAGACCACCGCCGCCACCACCGCCACAACGACCACCACCACCACCGTCACCATTGTGTGTGTGTGTCTTGTGTGAGGAGAGGACAAAACTGGTAAATGCTCAAAAAAAAAGGGCCCAGGCCTCAGCCTTTCTTAAACAGTTCAGCACCAGAGTTTCATGCAGACTGGAGTGCGCTTGAAAGGCAATCAACCAGTTATTGGACTACAAAACCTTGGCATATGCGCTTGCGGACGTGGCCCCCCCAGTCCTTTGTTTTTTGTTTCGCAGGTTGTAGAGTTTACGGGTTCTGTGCAGGTTAATGCTCATTTCAAACGTTGGAGAGGGCCGCGCTTGAGGGTTGCAGGTTTTGGGCGGAAAGACGTGGGCGTCTAGTTTGTGGTTTAGGGTTCATGGGTTTACGCTGCAGGATTGCTTGGGTGTTTGCAATTTTATGGACTTGGAGTGGGTGTGTTTCAGATCCCCCGGCTTTGCTTCAAATTTGGGGGGTTTTCGCTTTGCGTTCGGGCTCAGTGGGAGTCAGCGGAGCGCAGGCACTGTGCCGACACATTTTATGCTCCCGTATCTAGGGCCCCAGACCCTACACATGATCCGTGTATATCTCTACATGTCCATAGCTAATCATCTGATGTCAGAATTGTGTAGGTGTGGTACCGATCCCTTCTACGTCCGCAGGCTGCCAAACCCTAAACCCGCAAAGCAAAACTGCTATATGTGTACACATATTTGTACAACGCAATAGACGATAGGTTGTATAGTCTGATATGATGAAGAGTAAAGGCCGTGCAAAACGTAGCCCAAAAGAATGTCAGGACAAAAAGTAGTTAGAGAAACCTTCTGCCACCTTATACAAGATCCCACACTTAGATGGTCGTTCAAAACTTTCCAAAACCTCCTAAACCCCAAAGAGCCCCAGATGCGCCACGAATCCGTTGCAGAGGCGGGCCGTGGACTCGTGGGCTTAGGGGCTTGAAGGGCTCAAGGTGAAGTCAAAGGTCTTTGACAGGCCGAATTATTGGTTTAGGCACTCTTCCTTGACTCAGCCGTCAGGATTGAAGCGGAATGACGAGGTTGTTTTCGCGAGTTTCTGATTCATGCACTGAAATGCAGATATCTTCAAGGGGTATTGCCAAACATTTGCAATCAGCAGAAACTTTGCCCACCATCGATGCGAGCAAAAGGCTGAGACTGTAACCGCATGCTGTGAGTAACTAGCGCATGATGCCACCTTGCCGAGAATCAAGACAATTCTGGGATCTCACAGACTTCATGAACCAACCAACCTAAACCCTGGACCCCATGAGCGCTGGAAATTACACGACAAAGCTTTAGAAGCATCGAGGGAACGAGCTCGGAAGCTTCGGAAGTGGCGGCGAAATCGAGGTTATAAGTTATTGACGATGAAATCGTAAGAAGATGCCCCGGCTATGCTTAAGTCGTCTATGCCAGTAGAATAATCGCAGTTGGCATTGATTAATGATCTGGAGTTTGTCTGCCAGATCATTCTCTTTCGTAGCAAGCTATGACATTATAATGGATGTGTCTAGTTACGTTGTTGCGCTGATCAGGAGTACCCCCCGGCCCCCAATCGAAGAGAGCTAAGCAGGACCCAAACATCCGAAATGAGTTCTAATCAGTGGGGATGATATCAGGTAGATATTCGGGAATGTGTTGTTATTTGTTACTGTTGTGGTCTTCCATAATGTTTTTCTTTTTGCTGTCGCCGATAAACTATGCCTGCCAGGAAATTGATGACTATGAGAAGGCTATGCACAAGAACAAGCCCTAATACTTCAAATCTACACCCTACCCCCGATTATCCTTTAATCTAAACATTAGTCCATGCGACGTGTTAGCCCTCTGGAGTTAGGGCATACAGGTGTTGGAGTGGGAAGTACGGGTTTGGGGATTATGAAATTTGTTTGGGCACCGGCGGTTGACTGAATGGACTTGGAATGCGGTGTTGTATATCAGTATAACACCAAGGTATACCGATTCGGGTTTCGTGCCGGGTCTACGGGGAGAACACAGGCCCTCCATGCTTTCTCTTGCAATTGCTCAGCCTGTCGACCTGTGCGGCTTCGGATTTTTATGAGGCTTTACATGCCTTTGAATGTTTTCACGCTGTCAGCGTCGGCTTTCGTAGTAGCGTGTTTTCTGGGGTTTCGCTTGGCGCGGTACGCTTACTTGGTGTTACAGGGTTGTGTGCTGGTTTCCAGAGCGTAAAACCCCTAAACCCTAAACCCCTAAACCCGCTAAGCCCTAAACCCTTGAAACCCTAAAAAATCCTAAACCCTGCAGGAGCAGTCCCGTCTCGATGCCCCACTCGCCGGAAGCAGTTCTGCGGAGCCACAGGTCCCCAATAGAACAAACTCCGTGTCTTTTGGGGTTTAGGGTTTAGGGTTTTGGGGTTTACGGTTTAGGGTCTAGGGGTTTAGGGGTTTAGGGGTTTAGGGGTGTAGGGTTCAAGTTTAAAGTTTAGGATTTATTGGGTCGGGAAGCCTAAATCTTAAAACTCTGAACACTAAATTGTGAAACTTAAATTCTGAACCCTAAATCCAAACCCTAAAACTCCAATGCCCCTGAATAAAGAAATATAACTTAAATCATATTAGGGGTCTTACTCCAACGTAAGGTATATTCCCTAATAAGTGATAAAGCAGTCTCTGGGAAGGAGGGGGAGTTTCAGAAGCCCTGAAGCCCGAAGAGGCTTCTGAGAAGCACAACGCCCGAAGCCCCCTCGCCCGCACTGCCGCGACATATGAGATCGCGATTATGAGGTTCTGGGAATTGGTTGTATTAGGGTTTAGTCGTACAGGGCTTGAATCTTAACCTTCCGAGTCCTAGAGTTTGTGTTTTTCAGGGCTTTAGAGCTTCACTGTTCCAGGAATTATAGTTCTAGGGCCTTGTGTTTTGGAGTTTAGGGTTTGGGGTTGCAGGAGTGCTCAGGACTTTAGGGTTGCAGAGTTTTAAGGATGAGGAAGATATTGCAGTCTCGTCCTCCCCCGCTGTCAGGAGCATTCGAAGCCGAAGGAAGAGCTCGACATGAGAAAGGCCGCTTCGTGCAGTTTTTTAGATGGGTTCTGTGCATATACAGTAACACATATACAGACACATGTGTCTATATATATATATATATACACATATATACATATATACACACACACACATAGGTACGTACCTACGTACGTTCCTACCTACCTGCATGCGTACATACATACATGTGGGAGTTCATTGTTTTGATGATGTGCTCCCATGAAATCTTCTTTGACCCGAAATTGCGGACCTGACATTCCCCCTCGCCACTTACTTATCAAGGCTGATGTCTTCACAACCTAAGACCAAGCGACCAAGCGAACACTCGGCCATGAAACCTGCAAACTGCCGAGTCGAAGAGCGCCGCTTCCTGATCACGATCGAGTGAAAGCATCGCAATCACTGCGCAGCCAATGTGACCACAAGGAAGCGTGCCATCTCAGGCATGGGGCAACTCCTACACATTTAGACTTTTGTGGTTGAGTAGCGATGCCTCTGTCTGAGAAGAAGACTTTAGAGCCTAAATCTTAAAACAATCCTTTCACGTTAGGAGTTAGGACTGTAGCTGTGCATGGACTGATGCGTCTCTTAGCATCTCGGATGCAGTTTTAAGCGTGCCATAAGGCATCAAGCCACGATGTGTGCTATAATACAACGATACGATCGTCATAGATTATCTACAGAAAGGCTTCATCCATGGTTTATGCACGCACGCATGCATGCATGCATGCATGCAGGACGTATGCATGTATGTGTGTATACAGTCTGCATGAATTCATTCAAGTCTTGGATCCTTTCTTGTTAAATCTTGCGCTAGGCTCAGCAAGGCTTCAGCACACACAGCCAGATTGAGAGTTTTCGTGCTTGGTAAAGCCCGAGGATTGAATAAAGGAGACCTTCAGTAGCTGTATACCCCAAGCGCTGAACCCACGGTTTAGGATTGGGATTAGGGTTTAGCAGATTGCTCGCGATATTTCCCGATCATGCAAACTTAAGCTTGTCCACCCACAAAGCCACGACTCCAACCCGCCTGTAGAGTCCTGGAGATGCCTCGGAATGGAATGGTACTGCTGCGCTGACGGAGGTTGCGAGGGTCTCTTGCGAAGCTGAAAATCGGCACTTCCATGTTTACATGCCCCCCTCCGCAGGAGCTCGAGAGCTGTTGCGATACCTTGCATTGATCATGGGGTCAATAGTCGCTGAGGCCCTGCGTTACAACCCTAAACGCTTTATTCCTAACGCTTAAACCCTGAACCCCAAAACAGCTAAAGTCCTAGGATGCAGTCTTTGGGGCCTTCAAGGCCCCCTGGAATGCTCCGTCTGGAGGTTGGGTTGTTTCCTAAACACCTGTCATAGTCCGTTTATGGTTCTACATTGTCTTGTTCGTTGAAAAACATAGTGGTGTCATACCGTTCTGTAAGTTGTATTCATGTCTTCAGGTGGGCCACCATCTTAAGGGGTCTTTGCATCCTGCTGGATGAAGTCCAATATTGGGGTCCTTGATGCTCTGAAACTCCCATTTAGAGCTTCGGTTCGAGGGTTCTCGGCTCTCTATTGGAACAGGGTTCTTGTACTGATTCCGTATCTTAGATAGTTGATGGGAGAAAAACTTTCTAGCCATGTATTTTCGGTCCATCATAGAAAGTTGAAGCTATTTTGGGCCTGGGTATTGAAGAAAAGAAACTAAGCCTTTGACTGTTCCATTGTTGCGTCCTCCAGCATCGCAAGATCACTGCGCAGCCAATGTGACCACAAGGAAGCGTGCCATCTCAGGCATGGGGCAACTCCTACACATTTAGACTTTTGTGGTTGAGTAGCGATGCCTCTGTCTGAGAAGAAGACTTTAGAGCCTAAATCTTAAAACAATCCTTTCACGTTAGGAGTTAGGACTGTAGCTGTGCATGGACTGATGCGTCTCTTAGCATCTCGGATGCAGTTTTAAGCGTGCCATAAGGCATCAAGCCACGATGTGTGCTATAATACAACGATACGATCGTCATAGATTATCTACAGAAAGGCTTCATCCATGGTTTATGCACGCATGCATGCATGCATGCAGGACGTATGCATGTGTGTATACAGTCTGCATGAATTCATTCAAGTCTTGGATCCTTTCTTGTTAAATCTTGCGCTAGGCTCAGCAAGGCTTCAGCACACACAGCCAGATTGAGAGTTTTCGTGCTTGGTAAAGCCCGAGGATTGAATACAGGAGACCTTCAGTAGCTGTATACCCCAAGCGCTGAACCCACGGTTTAGGATTGGGATTAGGGTTTAGCAGATTGCTCGCGATATTTCCCGATCATGCAAACTTAAGCTTGTCCACCCACAAAGCCACGACTCCAACCCGCCTGTAGAGTCCTGGAGATGCCTCGGAATGGAATGGTACTGCTGCGCTGACGCAGGTTGCGAGGGTCTCTTGCGAAGCTGAAAATCGGCACTTCCATGTTTACATGCCCCCCTCCGCAGGAGCTCGAGAGCTGTTGCGATACCTTGCATTGATCATGGGGTCAATAGTCGCTGAGGCCCTGACGCTTTATTCCTAACGCTTAAACCCTGAACCCCAAAACAGCTAAAGTCCTAGGATGCAGTCTTTGGGGCCTTCAAGGCCCCCTGGAATGCTCCGTCTGGAGGTTGGGTTGTTTCCTAAACATCTGTCATAGTCCGTTTATGGTTCTACATTGTCTTGTTCGTTGAAAAACATAGTGGTTTCATACCGTTCTGTAAGTTGTATTCATGTCTTCAGGTGGGCCACCATCTTAAGGGGTCTTTGCATCCTGCTGGATGAAGTCCAATATTGGGGTCCTTGATGCTCTGAAACTCCCATTTAGGGCTTCGGTTCGAGGGATCTCGGCTCTCTATTGGAACAGGGTTCTTGTACTGATTCCGTATCTTAGATAGTTGATGGGAGAAAAACTTTCTAGCCATGTATTTTTCGGTCCATCATAGAACGTTGAAGCTATTTTGGGCCTGGGTATTGAAGAAAATAAACTAAGCCTTTGACTGTTCCATTGTTGCGTCCTCCAGCATCGCAAGATCACTGCGCAGCCAATGTGACCACAAGGAAGCGTGCCATCTCAGGCATGGGGCAACTCCTGCACATTTAGACTTTTGTGGTTGAGTAGCGATGCCTCTGTCTGAGAAGAAGACTTTAGAACCTAAATCTTAAAACAATAATTTCACGTTAGGAGTTAGGACTGTAGCTGTGCATGGACTGATGCGTCTCTTAGCATCTCGGATGCAGCTTTAAGCGTGCCATAAGGCATCAAGCCACGATGTGTGCTATAATACAACGATACGATCGTCATAGATTATCTACAGAAAGGCTTCATCCATGGTTTATGCACGCATGCATGCATGCATGCAGGACGTATGCATGTGTGTATACAGTCTGCATGAATTCATTCAAGTCTTGGATCCTTTCTTGTTAAATCTTGCGCTAGGCTCAGCAAGGCTTCAGCACACACAGCCAGATTGAGAGTTTTCGTGCTTGGTAAAGCCCGAGGATTGAATAAAGGAGACCTTCAGTAGCTGTACACCCCAAGCGCTGAACCCACGGTTTAGGATTGGGTTAGGGTTTAGCAGATTGCTCGCGATATTTCCCTATCATGCAAACTTAAGCTTGTCCACCCACAAAGCCCCGACTCCAACCCGCCTGTAGAGTCCTGAGATGCCTCGGAATTGTACTGCTGACGGAGGTTGCGAGGGTCTCTTGCGAAGCTGAAAATCGGCACTTCCATGTTTACATGCCCCCCTCCGCAGGAGCTCGAGAGCTGTTGCGAGACCTTGCATTGATCATGGGGTCAATAGTCGCTGAGGCCCTGCATTACAACCCTAAACGCTTCATTCCTAACGCTTAAACCCTGAACCCAAAACACCTAAAGTCCTAGGATGCCTCAGAACTTCGCAACTTCCAGTCTTTGGGGCCTTCAAGGGGGTTTCCTAACACCTGTCATAGTCCGTTTGTGGTTCTACACTGTCTTGTTCGTTGAAAAACATAGTGGTTTCATACCGTTCTGTAAGTTGTATTCATGTCTGCAGTGGTTTTTGCGTCCTGCTGGATGAAGTCCAATGTTCTTGATGCTCTGAAACTCCCATTTAGGGCTTCGGTTCGAGGGTTCTCGGCTCTCTATTGGAACAGGGTTCTTGTACTGATTCCGTATCTTAGATAGTTGATGGGAGAAAAACTTTCTAGCCATGTATTTTCGGTCCATCATAGAAAGTTGAAGCTATTTTGGGCCTGGGTATTGAAGAAAAGAAACTAAGCCTTTGACTGTTCCATTGTTGCGTCCTCCAGCATCGCAAGATCACTGCGCAGCCAATGTGACCACAAGAAGTCCTTGGATGTGGAAGCGTGCCATCTCAGGCATGGGGCAACTCCTACACATTTAGACTTTTGTGTTTGAGTAGCGATGCCTCTTTCTGAGAAGAAGACTTTAGAACCTAAATCCTAAAACAATCCTTTCACGTTAGGAGTTAGGACTGTAGCTGTGCATGGACTGATGCGTCTCTTAGCATCTCGGATGCAGTTTTAAGCGTGCCATAAGGCATCAAGCCACGATGTGTGCTATAATACAACGATACGATCGTCATAGATTATCTACAGAAAGGCTTCATCCATGGTTTATGCATGCATGCATGCATGCATGCATGCAGGACGTATGCATGTGTGTATACAGTCTGCATGAATTCATTCAAGTCTTGGATCCTTTCTTGTTAAATCTTGCGCTAGGCTCAGCAAGGCTTCAGCACACACAGCCAGATTGAGAGTTTTCGTGCTTGGTAAAGCCCGAGGATTGAATACAGGAGACCTTCAGTAGCTGTATACCCCAAGCGCTGAACCCACGGTTTAGGATTGGGATTAGGGTTTAGCAGATTGCTCGCGATATTTCCCGATCATGCAAACTTAAGCTTGTCCACCCACAAAGCCACGACTCCAACCCGCCTGTAGAGTCCTGGAGATGCCTCGGAATGGAATGGTACTGCTGCGCTGACGCAGGTTGCGAGGGTCTCTTGCGAAGCTGAAAATCGGCACTTCCATGTTTACATGCCCCCCTCCGCAGGAGCTCGAGAGCTGTTGCGATACCTTGCATTGATCATGGGGTCAATAGTCGCTGAGGCCCTGACGCTTTATTCCTAACGCTTAAACCCTGAACCCCAAAACAGCTAAAGTCCTAGGATGCAGTCTTTGGGGCCTTCAAGGCCCCCTGGAATGCTCCGTCTGGAGGTTGGGTTGTTTCCTAAACATCTGTCATAGTCCGTTTATGGTTCTACATTGTCTTGTTCGTTGAAAAACATAGTGGTTTCATACCGTTCTGTAAGTTGTATTCATGTCTTCAGGTGGGCCACCATCTTAAGGGGTCTTTGCATCCTGCTGGATGAAGTCCAATA